AAAGTATGCAGTCGAATTTGGGGTACTACATCTCACTGGGAATGATGCGCTTTAATGCAGAATACGCATGGATTCCGAGGGTAAACATCGACAGAAAAATTGTTGATTTTTTGAATCTTGCCTCGATTCGAAACTTGATGGTGAGTAATGGTCAGTCTAACAATAAAGATTTCGTTCTGTACAAGATCTCTTCGGCGCTAGATATTCCTCTAACTCAAATCGGACCCGAAAATGTCAAATGTTGGGCCCAAGTTGGCATCTTTATGACATCATTGAGTCCCAATGACGTCATTTCAAAGCTGGCTGATGCGTATTTTCAACCAACCAGAATTGAAGAAACTGCATATGAGAATTCCTCCAATCTAGTAGTTTTTCTTAACTGGAGCAAAAAAGAGTTGAGTGCTCACCCTGATCCGAACAGTCTGCCCATATTTCTGTCTGCCAATGGAATACTTCAAAGAAACACTGCTAATAAACTCTACAGTAGTGCTCTGTCAATCGCAGATATTTTCCCTCAAATCAGAGACCGAATTTTGGACATTGATGTTGATAGATGCCTGCGCTCTTTGGAAATTGCCTGCAACTTGAAAGTTGACGAATTCTTCGCTTACATAGCAAGTCATTTTAAACAAATACTTGTCGACCAACTAGTGTGTTGGAGTCAAGTTACGGGAGAAATAAATGAGCGTTGGGTGCGCTTGGTTTGGGATTTCCTAGCTCATCACCAAAAGGAGATATTGGAAGGATTCCGGGTTGTTTTGGAAAAAATGTCTATCCTTCTTTGTTCTGACAAAAGGGGTATTTTGAAGTTGATGCCTCTTTCAGTGTCCACAGATTACGTGTTTGCATCTTTCCTGACCATAAGAATTGGCACAGTTAGTATAAACACTAAAGACTACTCCTGTTTCTATCGAATATCCGACGAACTGAACCACTTTGGGACCCAAAGGAAAGCATTCGCATCGAAGTTTATAATGCCGTCAATCCTAACAGTGGAGCGTCATCTGCACATACTGCATGTTATAAACAAGGAGAACCAATTTGATAAATTTTCTGAAAGTGAAAGAAAACAGCTTTACTCGTACTTTCGAGACTCTTTCTGCAATGATCGGTCAATTTTTCGAACTAATGAACTAGACAAGCTACGGCAATTGCCAATTTTTTCGTTTGTAAAATCAACATTTGGATGTCAGCCGTTGTCAGCCTTCAGCTCCGTAGTTTCAATGTCGCCCGATGTACCACTAGTTGGTCTAACCCTAGCTGAGAATGAAGCAAACATTGTGTTTGTCTATAAAGAAGCGACGATTCAAGGCGCTGTTTTCCAGGAAAAACTTGGAGTTGAATCAAGATCAGTTTCTGAAATTTACTCCATTTTCATCCCAAAATTCTTTTCTCAAATGAAGAAAAACGAAATGAAAACCCATTTTCAGTATTTAGAACGCGAACTTTTCATCATGAAGCAAGCTGATCGGAACTTGCTGAAATATGCGTTAGAAAAAACTCAAATTCTTAGCGACGAGTGTGGTAATAAAGTAGCTCTTGAAAGCGTCGCCCAGATTGAACTTCGAAACATGGTCGGATATTTAGTGCCGATTACCGATTTCAGCGCTGTTGGAATCGTTAAAAATGGAAACGTGGATAAATTGGTTGGAGCTTATAAGTTCCCAGCAGTCTCTGCAATCGTTTTGAACTGGAAAATGTTGATTGAAGATTCTTCAAAAGAGTTCGACCTGAAATGCTCCGAAATTCGCAAAATAATTGATTATCTAGCCAGAAATGTAGATAAGGGTCCATTTGAAGAAGTTGCGGATGCATTGAGAAAGCAAAATTTGCTTCCTGCTAACGACGTGAACCAGTTCTGTAAGAGTTCTTCAATTTGTCTGAACGAAAATGCTCCAATTTACAATGGTCACCTTTACCGAGTTAACTTCCTGATTATAAAAGGATTTCAAAATTTAAACAAACAATTTCTCAGAAATTGTAAGGTGGTTGATCATTTTGCGCCATCTGAGTACTCGGAGTTAATTAATAGCTTGCAAACAGTCGAGTCTCCTGAACAAATTCAACAAATTGTGTCAATTTTGTTGTTTATTTGTAAAGGTGATGCGGATATAAGGCAACTCCCCGACACTTATTCAATAATGAGGCCAATAGACGAACTCTGTTTAAACGACCTGGAGTTGAGTTCGAATGCCTTGGAAGATAGTTTGAATTTCTGCCACGAGGCTCTCCCGCATCAATTGTGCCAAAACTTTGGAGTGAAGACCAAACGAAGTAAGTTGAAAGAGATGAATAGTGACCACAGTTTCGAGCGCTTTTTCCAGAGGGAGGACATCAACAAACGACTGGCGAGAATAGCCGAGAGCTACTCTAACCCCATGGATATCTTCAAAGAGTTGATCCAGAATGCAGATGACGCCCAGGCCACACAAGTTCATTTCATTCTAGACCAAAGAATACTGCCTGCTAAACATGTCATAGACCATGGGTTCGAAAAGTTGTTGGACCCAGCGTTGCTGGTGTATAATAATGTCCCTTTCAAGACATCCGACATTGAAGGTATTCAGCGTGTTGGTTCGGGATCCAAAGGTGACGACGTGGAAAAGATCGGTCAGTTCGGGGTGGGGTTCAATTGCGTGTACAGTCTGACTGACTTCCCTTGTTTTCTAACCCAAGTTGACGGTGTAGGTTTGGGAAATTTGCTTTTACTGGACCCTCAGGGTGTTATAATGGAAATGGGTGGGTGTAAAATTGACGTTAGTAGCGATACGTATATGGAAGTGTTCAAAGATAGCTTCAATTGCTTTTTGAGAGAAAACGAACAAATGGACGCTACAAACGGTGGCTCTATGTTCAGGTTCCCATTAAGAGTCAGAAGATCAAAATTGGGCAATTCTGCACCAAAATTAGGTGAAATAGAAAAGAAAATGAACGAGTTCTCGTCAAAGATTGCAGAGTACCTTCTCTTTGTAAATAACATCACGTCAATCAAGGTTTCAGTTATAAAAGAAACGGGAACTATGAGATGCCTTGGTGCCTTCTCGAAAACTTTTTCTGGGGACAACGAAATCGCCCTGAGAGAGTTCAGGTCTCACACGAGACAATTCCTATCAGTCAGTTATCAGCATGAATTGCTAACTAAACGCAATATTATTTACAATGTTGACATCATTGATGACATACAGGGCAAAAAAACTGCAGCCTGGATAGTTTCTGAGCAACTTGGCTCGGAGCGATCTGTTCCTGACATTATCCGTGAAAGCACTACTGGAAAATACAAGATCAAACAACACGCTTCGGTGGCATTCCCCTTGTTTTTAGACGGTAGCCTGAAGAATACAGTTCCAGGGGTGTACTGCTATCTTCCAATAGAGGAGGCCTCCGCCCATCTGAGGGATGAGACTGTGGGGATTCCAGTGGTAGTCAATGGACAATTCTTCCTCGACGAGTCCAGACGCATGCTCAGTCTGCAACCACAGGAGCCAAAAGGTGCCTGGAACATACATGTGCTGCAGGAAATAGTAGGACCAGCCTATGCTAAAATTTTGGAGCAGTTCATTAGGGATTGCATTAGCTTGAGAAGTTCTTTCCAACTGCAAATTTTTCTGGACAAACTCCCTTGTTGCAGAGATGAAAATCTAACACTTACACCCTCGAACAACGTAGCTTCTTTTGTTACCAGAGGATTTCTATGTGAGATGAACAAATTTGACTGGATTCCCTGCATGAGCTTTGAGCTCGAACTGCTTGATTTTGAAGCAGTTACTTGCGCTAAAAACTTTTCTTATCTCATTAGTGATCATCTTTATCTCATAAGTGATCATCTGAGCTCTTCGATATATAGGACATCTCAAAATCTCGGAGTGAAAATAACGCAAATTCCCCTAAAATACACAATAGTCTGGGCATGTTACGGGGAGCCTCTATCAAAACTGACACCAACTGACATAATTGGGTTGCTTCGGAAGCTTCCGGACAACCCTTTAAAAATCGAACAGAGCGTGTTTAATAACGTGCAGAATCTTGCGGTATTTCTCAATTGGAGCTCCGCTGAACTGCTAAAATTAAGTTCTGCTGACGACTTGCCAATTTATTTGACAGCGGACGGATTTCTGCTAAAAAATTCGAGTATCCAGTTGTATAGCAGCGCACTGAGTGTCGCCCAAATCTTCCCCCAACTGAATAACCGAATTTTGCATCATGAGATTGATCAACTGCTGAAGAAACTCAAAATCACATGTGAAATGAGCCTGGAAGAATTTCTTGATTATTTGAAAAAGCACAAGCCAGAATATTGTCAAAATAAAGTGATTAAGATTAATCCCGGGGAAATTTACCAAGTGTCGAGAAGGGTGGAGCTTATCTGGAACTTTCTCCATGCTCGCATTAACCCTGATGTCTTAGTCACAGACAGCATATTTGACAACTTTTCGCTTTTGTTGTGTACTGACAAATATGGATCAACCTTCCTGCGGCCAATTTCTGCAGGGAAAAATGACACTTTTTTAAATTTTTACGTGTTGTCGTTTGGTTCAGTTAAAATACGCACAGCAAAATACAGCGGACTTTATAATCTCGTAGATAGCTTGAAAGACGAAGACTTTCCAAGGTCAAAGCTAGTAGCATCAGCTGTTCTTTCTAAAGATTTACATATCAAGCAACAAATAATGATACTATATTTGATCAAAGATGAATTTGACTTCAACAATTCTGAACGCGAACAACTGTATGAGTACTTCAAAAACGTTTTCCAGAATGATACTTCGAGCATTGATCAAGATTCAATCAACTATCTGAGAGAACTCCCTATTTTTGCAATTATTCCAGACCAAGTTGATAACTTACTTCCAGACCAAGTTGATAACTTACTCTGTGTGTACTCGGTTCCCAGAGAAATTCCCAGACAAGGACTGAACTTGTCTGCTTCAGTGGCTTATAAATGTGTAAATGAAGAAAAAACCCCAGAAGCGATAGAATTCCAAAAAAGACTAGGAATAACAAATTTCACAACAACCCAAATGTATGTTGAGACGATCATTCCTCTTCTTTTCGAGCGATTTGAATTCGAAGATTTGAGCGTTCACCTGAATTTTATCTCCGAAATTCTCCCTCGATTAGACATAGATAACCAAAAAGTCATTCTAATTTGCTTAAGCCAATGCAAATTCATCCATGCCAATAACGACGACAAACGAGAACCGAAGTACTTTTACGATTCGAGGTGTCCTTTGTTTCCAGCTTTTAAGGACGGCGATCAGTTGTTGCCTCGGAAATATTTCAAGTTTCGCGACTTGTTATCAAAATGTGGGTTCAATCATAAAGTCACGGAAGAAGATTTCTGGGATTTTATCCCCCGTCACAGTGCAAATCCGTCTCGGGAAAACAGTTCAAGAATATTAGATCACTTTTTAAAGTCTTTCAGTGATCTTAAGTTGTCCCCGAATGAATTCTCCAAAGTAGGACGTCTCCCTATTTTCGAAACACACAAACATGGATACCAGAAACTCAGCGATGTGTACCTAAACCAACATAAGATTCTTGTTGAATTTGTAGAGCCTGTTCTGAATTCCGACACCAGTGGCCTCTTACAGGCGAAATGTACCCACTATAAGTCCTTCTGGCAAATTTGGCTCGATCAGGAGAATTCCGGATTGGAAAAGAAACCTACAGCAGCCATTGTGCTGAAAAACTTGGAGAAGTTAATTCAATGTGAGAGCCTAAACGACTCGAAAATCTTTGAGTGCTTGCGTTTCATTACTGAAGAAGCTTCAAGCGGTAGTCAAGTGGATAGAAACATTCTTGAAAAACTGTCGTGCATTCCATGTGTCAGAAGTGGGAATGGGAAACTCCTGCCACCTCGTCAAATCTGTAAATCGATCGAGTGTCTTAAGTGGCACCGTTTATTTGAAGGTCCAAACATCAGTGACCAAAATCATTGTGAGTTAGAAACTTACGTAAATGAGCCTTCACCTTTGTTTATGGCGGGATGGGATCATCTTCAGATTTTGGGCGCAACGAAATCTGTTACACTTCAGCAAACTGTCTTTGCAATTCATCAGTTTTACGGCGTAGTTATGACCGGTGATATTTGGAATAAAAATCCAAACTCCCTGAATCGTTTCTTTTGGTTAAAAGATCATTTCGAAGAGCTATTGGTGAAAAAACCATCTGATTTGTCATCGCTGAGTAGCGAATGTCCGTTATATGATATCACTATAGAAGGTAAACTGGTTGACATAAGCGGTGCAGTCGTGATAGATAAACCATCACTTTACAGGAGCTTGCAAGAGAGCTCTCGTGGAACTGAATCTCACTTTCAGGATGACTTCACGAGACTCTTTCCTGATTCATCAGTTATCGATGTAAACTCACTGTATGCCGAAACCTTGAAATTACTGCCTGCACCACTACGGCCAAAATTCTTCTCTGAAATTTGTCAAATCGAAATTGATAGCAGTACTTTTGAAGAATCGAACTCAGCAGCTGAACAGTTCCGTTTGAAGCGAATCTCAGCGAAGCTCCAAAGTGACCTATTTATTGAGAAATTGGCGCATGTTTTGGAGCACCGAGAGAAGCTCGTCCAAAACTATCTCTCACAAAACGAGTCGAGAAATCACAAGAAATTTGAAACCCAGAGATTGGCGTTTTTGAAGAACTCTATGCTGCGTCCAGTAAAAAGACTGAATTTTCGATACACAATTGATATCAACGGAAGAGAAATGAATGGAATAGTGGAGAGGGAGTTTGAATACCGAGAAAATCCAAATCCTGAAATTTTTTTCACCTTTCCTGATATCACAAGCGAACCTCAATCACAAGCAGAGGCAAAGAGATCAAAAGAATTGTTCAAGGAAATCACAAAACACCTATTTGTTCCCGAAAAACTCGATTGTTACCAATTGGACACAAAAGTAACTAATTTTTTGGCGAAACTCATTTTTGTCTGTCAATCGGAAATCGAAGAGCAGGATTTGCTCCACAAGTCTAACATTCCGTCGTTTAACCGAGTTTCGATTGCTCAAGACCGAGGAGACTTGCTGGTCGGAAATATTGTTCCACTCGCTTCTTGTGCGCTGATCGATTACAGCCCCGACCAAAAAATTGTATCTGGCGAAATAGTTGCAATTCAAGAGAATTCTGATAACAAGCATGAACCAGTTTTTAAATATGCAAAGTACGTCGGCGAAGTTCAAGATAGTAATGATTCTTCAGATCCTTCCCTCTTTCGAATCCAAGTAGACAGGGACACCATTCTAAACTTGAACCCAAAACAAGTATTTACTTTCCGTTTTAAGCTGGACACTGGTACAAATGAGTCACAGGAACCATCTATTGACGAAAACACCGAAGAAGAGCAATTTGAAAGCGATATGATGAACATTCGGCAGATTATCTGGACTGCGGTTACATCCCAGAAGCCTGGAGAGCGCTTGGATTCCAACATGGACGACCTGGAACGTCGCCTTCTACAGAGTTATCTGCGAAAATATTCAAGCCCTGACCAGCAACAAAGACTTATTAGAGTCGTAAGTGAATCTATAAGAACAGAAAAAGAAGCGCGTAATTTTGAGCCAGTGGCTGAAGCTGGAGACGCGAGTACAACAACAAGTCAAACTCAACAACCCGAACCTGATATGGAAGTAAACAATTTCCTGGAGTTGAACTTTGAACGGATGAATCGAGAAATAAATGCTCATACCGAGCAGTTGAAGGTTCACAAAAAACGGAAAACTCACGGTAGTTTTCACACCGAATCCTTTCGGAGACCGCAGTCTTCATTGAATGGTCGAGGAAGTTTTTTTGATTCATACTTAGGAATACAATTCCACATCAAAGCACTGGCCCAACCACAACCAAACCCAACTCTGGCTAAACTCTGGCTCAAACAAGCCACGGAACACTGGATGTTCCTTAGTGGAAAGGTTGAAGAAGACGGCGGCACTAATCAAGAAAGTCATCGAAATTGGATGCTCGAGATTTCCTTGAAGGTAAGTTTTTTTTTAATTTATAAGTCAACTGAAAACAAGCAGGAGGGAGGGTGCAGTTTCTGCTTTGTTAGTAGCGTAAAATTTCTTGCTGTTTTCCAGGATGTTAGAGGAGTTGAAACTCTTCATTAAATAGGTATTAATAACTGAAATGAGCCAGAGACAAATGAATTACATGATTGACTGTATAGTACTGCTCTCTCACATCGACTCCCTAGGATTCTTCTAATTTTTGGACGCGGATCTGTTCCTTTTCATACGCGAGGGAGTATGGAATCACAAAAACTAGCAAATTTTAAAAGGAGCTTTTAGCGTTGATTATTTTGACCATTGCTATCGGTGTGAAAATTACGAAATAAATCTGGAACAAGCGTCAAAAATTTTTACTTCATTTGCGCTCATTTTCCCCGTATTTGCAAAGAAGCAAGGGAAGGAGGCAGTCAGGAAAGTGAAACTAAAACTTTATTTTCAAAAACTGGTAATTCTTTAACGAGAACTTAGAAAATTTGATTTTTAGTTTTTTTTTCAGCTGACAAAAGCAACAGCATCAGAGGAATAAGGCAATAAGGTTTCGAGGCTAGTTTTCTCAGCTATAACAGATGGCTGATAGTATCATAAATAACAGTTACTCATAACAAAATTTCTTTTTTTTCAGAATTCAAAAGTTTCCATAAAAAAGAGAATTTTAGACTCCAGTCGTGGTTTTCTTTGATTATATGTCGATGTTTTGTCCCAGCAACGAGAGTTCACAGTTGCGAAAATGCTTTGGTCCATATTTTTTCATTTCCATTGGAGTTTGTGGAAAGCTTTAATTTTTTTCTGTGAAAATCATCAAGTTACAGCTTCAGCTTAGGATAGCTTTAAATTATATATGAAATTTAACGAAGCTTAGCTGTTTTTTTAAACTAATCTCTGATCTTTTGTGATTAACCAAGTCTCAAATCAGGTATGACGTTTAAGGTGATTGAGAGCTCTTTGATTGTATTGACCTATATGGAAGATGGAAGCAGCAGTATGTCTATCTACGATCGATTCCAGGGCAAAAAATTAACGGAAACTGCCTTAGAGCTGATTGCTATCTTGCGAAATCTTGATTCTAGTAGTTTGAATCTCAAACTAGATGAGATCAAAACAGTTTTGAAACAACTGGGCGAGTATAACAATCTTCATCGACCCGATCAAGGTCAAAATGAAACTTCAGGTGCACTGGTTAAGCCAGAAGACGTAGAACAAACAATAAAGTGTGCTAAAAAGATGTACGAGCTGGCCCTGGAAAAGAGTTTGGCCGCAGGGCTGTGAACTAATGAAAACACTTCAACAATAACTGATTATTATAGTTGAAACTAAATAAAAGAAAAATACTGATTTTATATGCTGAGTTTGATTAAACCAGCCGAAAATGTATAATTAGCAGAAAGATTGTTACAATTTTTGCGTTTAAATTAGCGCAGCTTTTTCTATTGTTGCCTAACTGTTATTTAACTGAAGCAACATTTTCGGCTGCTTATATCTTAACTGACATGGTTCGGCTGTTTTACATACCTATATTTACTATACTTCTTGTTAATATTATCTCATGACTTGTTTGTTGAAAAAAAAACTATCTATTTTTTATTTGAATTTGAAACCAAGTTTAAGCACCAATGTTTAATCTATGACCGAACATTCATAGCCCTGTCACTGTTTTAAAATTGGGGTCAGTCTCGAAATATTGGTGTGAAAATTACGAAATAAATCTGGAACAAGCGTCAAAAATTTTTACTTCATTTGCGCTCATTTTTCCCGTATTTGCAAAGAAGCAAGGGAAGGAGGCAGTCAGGAAAGTGAAACTAAAACTTTATTTTCAAAAACTGGTAATTCTTTAACGAGAACTTAGAAAATTTGATTTTCAGTTTTTTTTTCAGCTGACAAAAGCAACAGCATCAGAGGAATAAGGCAATAAGGTTTCGAGGCTAGTTTTCTCAGCTATAACAGATGGCTGATAGTATCATAAATAACAGTTACTCATAACAAAATTTCTTTTTTTTTTCAGAATTCAAAAGTTTCCATAAAAAAGAGAATTTTAGACTCCAGTCGTGGTTTTCTTTGATTATATGTCGATGTTTTGTCCCAGCAACGAGAGTTCACAGTTGCGAAAATGCTTTGTTCCATATTTTTTCATTTCATTTAGAGTTTGTGGAAAGCTTTAATTTTTTTCTGTGAAAATCATCAAGTTACAGCTTCAGCTTAGGATATCTTTAAATTATATATGAAATTTAACGAAGCTTAGCTGTTTTTTTAAACTAATCTCTGATCTTTTGTGATTAACCAAGTCTCAAATCAGGTATGACGTTTAAGGTGATTGAGAGCTCTTTGATTGTATTGATCTATATGGAAGATGGAAGCAGCAGTATGTCTATCTACGATCGATTCCAGGGCAAAAAATTAACGGAAACTGCCTTAGAGCTGATTGCTATCTTGCGAAATCTTGATTCTAGTAGTTTGAATCTCAAACTAGATGAGATCAAAACAGTTTTGAAACAACTGGGCGAGTATAACAATCTTCATCGACCCGATCAAGGTCAAAATGAAACTTCAGGTGCACTGGTTAAGCCAGAAGACGTAGAACAAACAATAAAGTGTGCTAAAAAGATGTACGAGCTGGCCCTGGAAAATAGTTTGGCCGCAGGGCTGTGAACTAATGAAAACACTTCAACAATAACTGATTATTATAGTTGAAACTAAATAAAAGAAAAATACTGATTTTATATGCTGAGTTTGATTAAACCAGCCGAAAATGTATAATTAGCAGAAAGATTGTTACAATTTTTGCGTTTAAATTAGCGCAGCTTTTTCTATTGTTGCCTAACTGTTATTTAACTGAAGCAACATTTTCGGCTGCTTATATCTTAACTGACATGGTTCGGCTGTTTTACATACCTATATTTACTATACTTCTTGTTAATATTATCTCATGACTTGTTTGTTGAAAAAAAACTATCTATTTTTTATTTGAATTTGAAACCAAGTTTAAGCACCAATGTTTAATCTATGACCGAACATTCATAGCCCTGTCACTGTTTTAAAATTGGGGTCAGTCTCGAAATATTGTATTTCGGTAGTGATAGAAAATTAGTTGCGTTAGCCTGCACAAGTCCATCTATCTTTTAAAAAATGAAGAAGCTTGGTTAAATCGTAACGAAACTCTTGGCTGTCTCAGCAAATTCTGGCCAAAGAATCTTGGAACATATCAAAGATTCTTCAAGAAAGTTCAAAGAAATTTTGAAGAAAAACAAAGCAAAATTTTGTTGACGATTTGCGACGAAGACTATTTTAATTTCAACATTACGATGCCGAACTGCTTTTTGTGAATTGTAAGCGAAATCTGGAACAGATCAAAATCAGTTTTGTTGCAGCATTTGTTTTTTTTTCTCTGATCTTCTCTGCTATTTTGGAATCCACAAAAAGTAGCTAAAAGACTACCGCTTAAGATTGCTCCTAAAGTAGGCAAATTTGCGGAGCCCGCAACAATATTTGCGGAATCCGAAAGCTTGTCGAATCCATAAAAATAATTATTATTATGTATAATAAAATTTAGCTGCTGCAGTATCAGCAACTGTGCGGAATTTGCAAACTAAGGGAATTCCGCCAATTGTAAGCAGAACCCGCAAAGTCTAAGTGGAGTCCGCAAATTGTAAGTAGAAACAGCGTTTTGTTTGCAAACTCCAGTTATATGTGTAGTACCGTTTGAAATTAAATCTTTTGTTTACCAATTGGTCACAAGCATGTTCAATCTCAATTATTGCTAAGTTGATCAGCCACCAGCTGAGTTACCAAACGTTCGATCACATTTCTTGTCCCCAATTTCGATCGCAATTCCTGTCAAACTGACAAGTTCTATATCTGTTCTTATCAAACGCCCAAATTCAAACTCAATATTTTTTGAACACGCAACTTCGAAATCAAGCCCTACCAACTTACCATCAACTTTGATCTTAATTCATGCAAACTTACAAGAAACTTCGATCTCTATCGCTGTTAAAGACCCAACTTTGATCTCAGTTCCTGTCAAACACACCATTTTGATCTCAATTCCTGTCAAACACCCGACTTCGACCTCAATTCATGACAACTTACACTAACTTCGATCTGCGATCACAATTTATGTCAAACACCCAATTTTGATCTCAGTTCCTGTCAAGCAGCTAACTTCAATCTCAATTCCTGTCAAAAACCCAACTTCGATCTCATTTCCTGTCAAAAAAAACAAATTCGATCTCGATTCCTGCCAACTTAGCTCAACTTCGATCTCAGTTACTGCCATCTGAACAAATTGGACTCAACCAATTCGTCCGCTCATTTCAACTCAATTCAATTAAAAATAATCCGTTCAATTTGGTCTTATTTCAAGTTTTTCAAATTTCAAAACCGGAACATAAATTCAAAATGCAAAGTTTTCAGGTAATTTTTCGTGCCTCTTAAACTAGCTGTTGATTCAGCTGTAGTCCACAGGAAAAATTACTGTAGCAGCAACAGTTTATCTCATTTCATTTTGAGCTGTCGTTACATCCGTTGTTCAGGTTCTCCGTAGGAACAGTTTTGACTGGCCCACAAACATTTTAGACCATAATACTGAATACTGCATACAAAAAAGATTATGACAAATTACAATACGGTTGAACTGAAAAGCGGAAACAAGCATAAAGAGTTGCAAAAAATGTTCAAGTAAATCTTTCCAGGTCATAAAAACAATCTATTTTATGTCGAAATACCCCTCAGAATTTATCCTAGACGGCATATCTACCTCGGCATGCATTTATATGGCATCAAATTGTGCTCGTTAGGAAATCACTGACCTCGTTCAGCAGTTTGAGAGTTTTGTTTAAAGTGTCCGGCTCACGTTCGTTTTTTTGCCGGCAACAAATACCTTTTTCCTCAATCACAGAATCTCAAAATTGATTGCATCCTAAAGGTCCTGAGATTATGCGCTCAAAAAATTCTAGCACCACATTATGTGGTTTTTCAGGTTACTGGCTTAACTGGAACCATAAAGAATGTTAGCTCTGTTTTTTTTTCATCAAGCCAACGGGTCTTCTTACTGCTAAAAAGACAGCAAAAGTTTGGCTAATTGGCTGAATAAAGTTACTCAGATTGCAGATAATTTTGTTGTAGAAACCAACAAACAAGGGATTTAGTTAACTTTTTTTAAGAAAAAACTTCGAAATTGGTCACTTTTTGATAGAACTCAATCTAGCAAAAGCTCAAGTTTACGTGCAATCGAGGCTGCAATAAGCGATTTGGAACTTTTATCCAGCGCGCAAGATCATCGATCCTAGCGATAATCACAAAATTTCAGAGTCAGATGCAACCAGTGAACTGTAATATAAATGGTCAGAATATCATACGTAATCGATGATAATATATACAGGTAATGAGGATTTTGCATGTAATCAATTAGTAGTTAGTTATACGTTGATGAACTAAAAGATATATTTCCCTCCATTACACCGTTGATGCATGGCACGAGGTTCAACGCGACTCAAGACGATTCAAAATATGCTCCTGGAATTTTTCTTCCTGTTTAAGTTTTTTACCCCTGGGCTCTGACGGTTTTTGTTTGAGTCTAGGTTTAGCGGATTCATCATGTGACTCGTTTCATAAACTGGAGTATATCTACAACAAATAACTCACTATATGCTATAAATGATATCAAACCACATCGCTAAAGCCTTTCAACGTTCTCATTTTTCTGGACTGCAAGAATGTGACCTATGAAAAACATCTTTTCAGACTTTCAATGTCAATTCTCAAATTAAAACTTTTTATCTTAAAATTAAAAAGTTTTGGGGCGCAGTACAGCCCTGCCAACCATCAAACTAAAATTATCCTTCAACGTCTTATCCTTAATTCAATGTAATTCGTTTGGTCTCCGGGTAATACATTTTTTTCAGAAAATCCAAAAAATGGTAATAAGGATTCCGTTTTCATTCAAATTGAGAGCCAAACTTGGAACAAGCAAAACTAGTTAAAAAGTGTAATATGCCAAATTTCAGCAATTTTGCAGTCAAAAATGAGTGTTTAGACAATTGTGGCTCGTATTTTTAGTCTGAAACTGTAAGATTCGCCCGGAAGTACATACCGACGGAAAAAACTGATAGAACTTAAAGCAAATGACTCTTCACAAAATAGAATTTTACGTGATTTTTGTCGTCTCTACCATAATCAAATCAAGGTGTTTTTTGTAACATCTGGTAAGCAAAATCGTAACTGTCGAAAAGCTATCAGCCGAGCCGCGCAAATTTTTTTGAACAACCATTGAAAATAATGAACTCAGGCTGGGTCTCAGTATTCGCAGACGACGAGATCATTCCTAATAATAGAGCTGTTGCACTATTATTACTAAGTTTTAATATAACTATTGTTGTTGTA